TGGGGCGCCGCAGGCGTCGGCTGTTCTGCCGAGCTACTGCGGCTTTCGATGACACGAATGCGTTCGGAGACGGGGGCAGACGCGGGGCTCGCGGGGCCTCTCGCGTTCCAACGGCAGGCGCGCGCGGAAGCGCTGGGAGAAGAACCGGGCGACTCGCGCGCGGGGATTGCCCCCGACCCGCCGCGGGGATCGCCTCCGACTCCGCAGGCGTCGCCGCCGACATCAGACGCATCAGCAGGCGCAGAAGGGCGAGGAGCGAGGGCCTGAGGAGGGTGGGCCCCGCCCCCAAAACCATTCGCGCGAGGCGTAGACATTGCCTCCGGCAGGGGCCGAGAGCGTTCGCCTGCCGCGCGCAGCAGTTCAGCTTGCGCGCGCGCCTCTGGGTCAACTCCCGTCGACGGGGTCTGGGGTATCGCATCGTCTCTTACTGCCCTCTCAAGAGCGCCGGCGAGCCTACGCGACGTCGGAGAGCTCGCGCGCTGAACTTCGCTGTCCGATCCCAACGCTTCGGCCGTCGAAGCAGCAAGAGAGGTCGACGACGCCGGGATCGTCGGCACAAGAGCAAAGTAATAAAAGCAGATCACTTGTGAACGGAGGCAGGGAGCCGAAAAGGCCAAACCGTCCGTCCGAAGGAGATCCGTCCGTAGAGGAAAGATGACCGCGATGGAAGGTTTTATCCCTCGACGCCGCCCAGTCCTCCAGACCTGAAGTCAAGGCCCCCAGTGCCTGGGCCGGCAGGGGCAGCGGTGAAGAATAAGGATGGGAAAGAAAAGAATTCCAACAGGATGGGCACCCCCCTTCATGCGTTCTGGACGGCGCTCCCAGGCCCCAGGGCACCTGTCGGAAGAACTCCTGGACAGCCGAAAACGCCCCGCGCCCCCCCCGCGCACGGGCCCGACAAGCCCACAGGGCCGCCCAAGAGAATTCCGACGCACCCCAAGATTCCTCCTAAATTGCCCAAGAGCTCTTTGAGAGATGGCCAAAAACAGCTTCTAGACGGCCACCAAGGTCCTCAAGACGTCCCAAGAGGCCCCCCAGAGGGCCCCCAAGAGGCGAGAACCGTTGCATTCCCTTTCGGGAAACATATCTTTTTAGAATACTCATCACAAAGGCGCCCGAGACGACCCGAGGGCCCCCCCAAATCTCCAAGGCTACCGAAGAGGCCCCCAAGAGGGCCTCAACGCGGCCCACGAGGGCTCCAAAACGGCCCAAGAGAACCCGAGGACAGCCGAAGACAGGCCCTAGAGAGCCCAAAGGGTTGCGAAGGGGGCACCAAGAAGGCCATGGAAGGGCCCCAAGACGGCCCAAGAGGGCCCTCTTCGCCCAACATCCTCGAGACGGCCCAAGAGCGCCCCGGGACGGCCCAACCAAGACGGCGCAGGGGGCCCCAAGAGAGCCCCAAGATGCTTCCGACAGGCTCCAGGAGAGATCCCCAACTGGCCCCCAGGAGCGCACGGGAGGTCTCGCGTCCAAGTCCTGCACGGCGCCCCCAGCAAGGCTTCCAGAGGCCCCGATTCACAAGCCACGCAAGGTTTCCGGAGGCCCTGCGGAAGCACGCCGCGAAGCCCCGACGGGCACCCGCGACGCCGCGAACTTACGACCCAGGTCAGGGGCGCGCCGCCGCGGCAACGCGACGGCCCTGGCGGCGTGACTGCGACCCCCTCGCGGTCGTGCCCACGCCCCCGCTTCGCTGGGCGGCCGCCGCTTGATCCCCCGAGACAGCTGATTTCTGCTCGTTTCGGCCAACTGCAAGCCAGTCGGCGCCGCGAGCGCCGGCCCCCTGAAGCCCCCCTCATCTCTGAAGCGCCCCCCAAAAGCACTCGAGCAGCGCCGTGGCCACCTCCGACGCGAGCGTAGGCGCATCTGTCGGCATCTGCCCGCCCTCCTCGTTCGCCCCCCGCTAAGCATCTTCGGTTCCGCCCTTCGCCATCGTCTTCCACGTTTGCCCTGTCGCCGTCGGCAAGCTGCAGGCCAGTCGGCGCCGCGGGCGCGAAGGCCCCTCAAGCCCGCCCACGTCTGAGACCCCCCCAAAATGCAACCGAAGAACACCCGGACCACCTCCGAAACGAGCGGACGGACACTCGCCATCGCCATCGTCTCCCACCGGCCACGGAAACGACCAACAGAGCCGCGCGATGTACAAATCAAGGGTTCTGCAAAACCATTCAATGGATTCGGATTTGGCACGCGCGGCCCCCAGAGCGCCCCAAGAGCCTCCCCAGAGGCCTCTATACTTCAGACGGCGCAGTGGCCCCCAAAGGCACGCCAGAAGCTTCGACGCTCTGACCGCGACACAGAACTCGTCATTGCGCGCCCCTCTTCTCGCGGCGGGGCTCGCCACCCCTTCTCTGAGTGATGACCTCGACCCCCCTCGCGGTCACCGGCGCCGGCCCCTCGCCGCGCCGACCCCTTCCCCTCTCCGCGGACCCTCGCACCCACCCCGCCCCCCATGCCCGCGGCCCCCGCTCGCGCCCACGGGCGTAATTCTTCGACCTCGTGACCTTCACCCACCTCGGGGTCATCACATCAGCGCTCTCGCTGCCGGACGCGAATTCCGTCATGACCTTCCCCCCTTCTGGCGAGCGCGGGATCGTCTGTCTCGTCGTGCCCGTCCTGCTCGTCGACATCGTCCTCTGTTGTTTCTTCGTCTTCGCCGTCCGAACCGCGGATCATTCGTTTCTGTTTTACTATGTTGACGCTCACGGCATTGCTCCTTGAACGCGATGACCGTAACCCCCCTCGTGGTCACCACTTCCTCCCACCTCGCATGCGTGACTTTGGCCCCGTCATACCGATGCCGTTTATCCCCAACCAAGGACATGCTTGTGGTCCGTTCCTGGAAGATGACCGTGACCACCCTCGTGGTCGTCATCTGCTTTCAATAATCACCGACCCACCGAATGGTTCGGAGTGCATGGACGCGGGACCAAGATTGAAGCGAGGCGAGGCGAGCTATCACAGATTGCGTATATCTGTGTATATACTATATAGAAAATATACACACAGACACCTCGTGGAGTTTCTTTGGAGTCCTTTCGGGACCCTCTGGGGCCTGTCTTGGGCCGTCTTGGGGCTCTCATGGGCCGTCTTGGCGCCATTTTGGGCCGTGTTGGGGCCCTCTTGGGGGCCTGTTGGGTTGTCCCGGGGCGATATTGGGGGGCGCTCCGGTCGTCTGAGGCGCTGGCTGTTATGACTGAAGAAGTGAATGTGCTAAACATTCACGTATCCCAAAGGGAATGCAACGATGTACGCCTCTTGGGGGCCCTCTGGGGGGCCTCCTGGGCCGTCTTTAGGACAACTGCGGCCGTCTAGAAGTCGTCTTGCACCCTCTTAGAGCGCTCTTGGGCCATTTGGAATCTTAGGGCGCCTTGGGAGCCTCTTGGGCCAGCTTGGGGGCTTTTGGGCCAGCGCGGGGTTTTCGGCTGTCCAGGAGCTCCTCCGACAAATGCCCCAGGGCCTGGGAATACCGTCCAGAAGGTATGGAGGGGGTGGCGGCCATCCGGTTTTTTCTTCTCCACGCAGGATGAATAATTATGAGGATATACACTGGATGTTCGCTACGTTTCGCCTTCTATTCTCGGCCCTTGCACCTACGATGTGTGTCGGCGTTGTGGTAAGCATAGTAATGTCGCCCCTGACGTGCTGCTCGAGCAGTGCGAGCCAACGTGGCGTGGCTGGTACATTGCGCGCTTTGACGCATCGAAAACAGGTTCCGAAAGGGCTTTCGGGCGCTATTGAGGGCAGCTGTGTCTTCATAATGTGTCTGCGCGTGCGGGTGCATGTGCGCGTGGGTGTGTGCACCGCGTTACAGCACCAAGAAGGCCCGATCACGGCCCAAGCAGGTGCCAAGACAGCCGAAGAGGGGTCCAAGAGGACCCTTACTTGGTCTGAAGGACTCGCAGACGGGCCTCAACGTCCCCCAGAGAACCTCAAGACGATCCACAGGACCCTCTAGACGGACTGCGGAAGCGCCAGACGGCCCAAGAGCACCCCCAGACGGTCCACAGAGCCCAAAAGAAACCCGATGCGCCCCCAAGACGCAGCCAAAGCACCCCAAAAGGCCCCCATGGAGCCCCAACGGCCCGAATTTACATAATTACGCGACGACATCCCGCGCTTCCTCGCAGTCGCGCGGAGGATGCTAGGCTGGAGCCGTGGTGGAACTTAAAGAGAAACTGAGCAACGGTTTCTGAATCCCGGAATCGGTGGAGGAAAGCGAGGATGCGGCGAAAAAGGAGGAGGAAGGCGACGAGCAGGAGGAAGAGGGCGAGGAGGGAACGGGAAGGGCAGACAGGGAGGAAACGGAGGAGAAGGAGGAGGTGAAGGATGACGAGAAGTGCACCGTCGGACGTCCGAGAAAGCACCGTGGAGAGTTATTTGGGAACCCTCTCGGGCTCTCTTGGGGATCTCTTGAAGGCCTCGTGTGCGGTCGTTGGGGGAGCATGGGCCGAGCTTGGGGTGAGAGGGGGAGCCTCTGAAGCCGTCGTGGCGCGTCGAGTGGCCCGAGAGGTGATGACGCCGAAACCATCGGAAGATTGTGACTTTGGCCCTTCTAGGCCTGATCGGGGGTCCGCTTGGGGCCTTCTTCGGCCGCCGAGGGGCTCTCCTGGGTTGTCCTGGGACCCTCTTCGGGTGCTTTGATCGTCTTGTGAAGAAGCAACTTCGACCCCGGACCTCAATACAACGCTGCAGTACCGAAATCGGCGGTGGTAGTGCTGATATTGTCGGCAGGGAAGGGCTCGTGCTGAACATGAGGCGCTTTGGACTGGGGTGGCCTGGAGCGAAGAGAGGATGGAGGATGGGAAAGGAGGTGCGGGCGAGAGAAGAGGGCAGAAGCAGCGGCAGAAGAGGGAATCGAGGGGAAGAGAGGGAGCAAGAGCATGGAAGGGGAGGCGGGGCGGACGAGGCTCCCCCGAGTTGCTACCGAACCGCCGCACCTTCAAGAACAGCCCATGAGTTGCTTCCGAACCGCCACGCTTGCATTCCCAGAGGGGCGGGTCCTCGGGCTCGGAGGTCCGCAGGGGCTGGAAGGAGGAGTGCACCTTGGGGGGGAGAGAGCACAAACAGATGCTGAAGGGCCTCCCAGATGGGGTCGGAGCAGATCGGGTCGGAGGATCGCGCCGCATCGGCGATGCATCGGCGATGCATCGGCGATGCATCGGAGATGCACCAGCGATGCATCGTGGACGTGGGCGATGCATCGGCGCCGTCGGCGTGCAGAGAGTCGGGCTCCACATCGAGCCGCATGGGCGATGCATCGGGGATGCGGCGCGATCCTCGGACCCCATCTGCCCCGATCCCATCTAGGAGGCCTGGAATCTTGGAGGGAAATGACGAAAATACATGGCGGGTTCCTGAGACCCCAAATCCAAACAGGTTGACATCTCTTGGGGGCCCAGGTGGTGCGTTCGCCAACTTCCGCAAGCCTTCCGCCAGCTTTCGCCGGCGAAGGCGCACTCGTTTCACTTCCGCCGCCTGCCGCCAGGGAAGAGATGCCACGCGAGGCCTTCTTTTTTCTGGAACGCCCACAAAAACATAACTCAACTTTCGGCGGTCCGAGCGGATCTCATGGATCGGCGATGTGCCCCCTTCCCTGGCGCGCGGAGCGCCCAGCGCAGATCCCGCGCCAACCTCCGGAACTGCATGCTTATACAATTTGTTCCGGGGCGGTTCACAAGATGGGGCCTCGAAGGATGGGGCCCCAAGGAAGAGGGGCCTTCAACAATACGAATCCCACTTGGGATCGTTTCCTTCCCTTAGGGTCCCATCCCTCAGGGCACACCTTTGAACAGCCGATGCTTTTTCCCAGAGCACCATCGCGACCGGCGCTGCCCAGCTGGGTGGGCGCGAGTGCACCGGGGATCGCGCGCTCGCTGCGCGGCGGGGCGGGCGTGCGCCGAGCGGGCGCCGTGGGCCAAAGTGGCTGCGGTCGGCGAGAGCGGGGGGTCCAGACATGCCCAAGGATCCTCCACCGTCGACGCTGGGCCTCCGATCTTGGGACCGTGGTCCTCGACCCTCCATGCTTTCCCCCTCCCTGGGCACGCCCAGTGGGGGGCGGAAAACATGGGGACGATGCTCCACAGCGAATGCTGTCCTCAACTGACAACGGCCGTTGTTGGGCATGCAGCGTCTGTCCGGGGCGACACCGAGCAGCGAATGCTGTCCAGAATGGGCAAAAAACGGCAGTCGGCTTCCATTTTCCCAGCGCCGATCCAAGAACTCCGCGCGGAGCTCCGACACCCCCACCAGAATTTGAGGGCACCTGTGGTTTAGAGCGCCTCCTCTTCTAAATCCCATATTCCGTTTCGGGGGGCGGTGTTTCAACGGTCCCGACGAAACACAATAAAAACACCCCATCCAATCACTCGCCAAAAGAATACGGCTTCCGGCAAAAGTGGGCCATGATGGTGATGTAAGCGCATCGGCCCCACTGCCCATGATAGGCACATCGGTCGTGTTTTCTGTGATCGGTTAAACTACGAGCAACTGCTTGCAAACGAGAACCCGACGACTCGCACCCGCGAGCCCGCGGCGCCCGCGAGAGGCGCTCCCCCAATACAGCCCAGATAGCTGCGGGCGGCGGCGGCAGGGAGCGAGCAGGGAGAGAAGAGCAACAACTCCCCCTGCGGCGGGGCCCCACGTTTCTAACCCGCCCCAGAGAGGGCCGCGGTCTCCTGGCACCGTCCGGAGCACATCGGCCCTCCCCGGCGCCAGCCCCCAAAAACTTTTACGGCGCTAGGGGAAGGGGTGCGGATAATCCCGCAAGATGTGCCCAAGGCATCAGCTGCCTTCGCTCGCTGTTCGATGCTGAAGCTGGCCTCGACCCAGCATCGGCTCCTGCCCCGCTCGAGCTTCGGCGGATTTCGATCTTGCTCCGCTTCAGCATCGCGGCCCCGCTCCGGCCTCGGCGGCGGGGTAGGCGACGCATCGCGCCGCGCAGGCTGCCCACGCGCGCCATCGTGAAGGAGGTGGCCATCGGGGGCCCCAGCCAGCACATCGCTCGCCCCAGCCAGCGCACTTCTCGCCGGCGCCGCGGGAGGAATACGAGGGGCAGCAAAAGTGCCGACTGGGTCGGCACCTTGAATATACCCTCTTCTTCAACCTCCATGGGCTTGGACGGATCCGCTTCTGGAACACTGCCAGCTAAGTCGGTTGCAGTCTCCTCCGAAATACTTAGTGAATGCACAGTTGGAGGCGCACGCTGCGGCGCGATAGCTTGCATCGGGCCATCGGAGGATTCGCCAACATCGGCCGAGCCGATATCAGGGAATCCGCTCTCTGCAAAAGTGCGCCAAATTCCAATAGCAATTGTTGCGCTATTTCTGGCCATGCTCGGCAACCAATCGCCCCCGCATCTCAACGCATTTATCCTGCAATGGATCCTGCCATTGATCTCTGCCAATGAGATCACCCATGGCGATCTGCACTGGCCAAGGACCCGAGCGCATCTTGGACTGACGGCTGAACCCCAAGTCCGCGAGTAAAGTTTCCAACAGGTCGAAACTCTGCACTGCCCCCCTCATCTCCCCGTCGACTTCGCGCGAATTCCTCCGCGCCCGCTGCGGGCTGTGACCCGCCCGATCATCTATGTTATGTTTGCCTTCCTAGGCATCCAACGCATCTGGTATTTCTGTCGGGACTGCGATGTATCGTTCTTGTACGATGAAGTAATTTGTACATTCTCTGGCTATGTTCATTATGCGAAGAGGCCCGTTCTCCAATAGGGCGGCATCAAGAAGCTTGCCGACCCTCTCGGCGACGGCGTCTTTATCAACATATCCACCGAACATTGTTCCCATAAGTCTGAATTATGGGAAACGCAATTTCCAAACCATCGAGCGCGGCTTTTCAAAAGAAAAAATGTTTCCCATAACTCGGAATTCGACTTCTGGGAAAACGCTTCCCGAAATTCGGAATTCGAATTATGGGAAGCGCAATTCCAGCCCGTCGAGTGCGGTTTTTCAAAGGGAACTTGCGCCTCCCATAATTCGGAATTCGAATTCTGGGAAACTGCGTTTCCCGAAATTCGGAAGTCGAATTATGGGAAACGCAATTCCAGCCAACGGAGTGCGGTGTTTCAAAGGGAGTTGCGTTTCCCATAATCCGGAAGTCGAATAATGGGAAACGCGTTTCCCGCGCAATGTATCCTTCGGGCAGTCGTCCGGGCTTGCGTTTTCCATAATTCGCCCTTGTCGAATTGTTGAATTATGGGAAACGCAAACCTGAGCGGCAGCCCCTGACAGGTGGCCAGCAGAACTTATCAGGGTTTAGCAGAGGGCCACAGTGCTTGGCAGCGCCTATCAGGGTTCGGATAGGCCTAGCAAGGCTTAGCAGGGCCAGCAGGGCTTAGCACGGCATCGCAGTGGCTAGTCAGAAGCGGCCCCAGGAATCCTGGATTCTACTAGGAGGTAAGACGATTTCCGACACGGTTCGAATGGAGGTGGATCCTCTTCTACTAATATTATAGTCTAATGGGTTTCATCCTTGATCGGTTGCTAATGGAGATGGGCCCACTTCTAAGGGGGGTCCAGTAAAGGTGGAACCACCATTTAAGGGCGCTCTCTTGTACACTCGGCCCCCTCCTAAACGGGAATCATCTAGAGGTGGACCCAACGCTATTAAGATTCCAGCACATGTGAATCCTTCATTGCTCGCATTGCACTCGAGGATTGTTTTCTCATTGATAAGATTATGTTAAGAGGTGGGCCCACCTCTAATAGGAATATATTAGAGATGGGCCTTGCCAGACCGGGTTACATTAGAGGTGTCTCCATCCCTGATCGGATTATATTGCCAGTGGTTCCAATCCTGATGAGACTTTGTATAAGATTTTGTTGGAAGTGAGGCCGTTCCTCATCGGATTATATTACGAACGGATCTATAACTGATCGGACGTCACTCGAGGCGCATCATACCCAGTGCGGCTATTAAAAAAGGTGGGTCCGTCCCTATTACGGCGCTCTCAAAGGTTTCCCAATCCCTACTAGGATTGCATTGGAAGATCAACATCACCAGTGGGATGATATCAGCGGGGGCTCCATCCCTAATAAGATACTAGAGTTTGCCCCATATCTCCTGCAGGAACGAATTGGAGGTGGATCCATCCCTCAGGTGGCCCCACCCCTGATGGGATCATGGTAGAGGTCGCCCCATCTCGAAGGGGATTGCATCGGAGGTGCATCAAGTCCACATTCTAAATAAGATTAATGAGATTGGTTGATCCCGTATGGGCCTCTATTACAGGCGGCCTCATCCCCACTCGGATCCTTAGAACATGAAAAATCAAGAGACACAGAGGGAGAGAGGGAGAGAGAAATAACAAAACATGAGAAAAGAGAGAGAGAGAGAAAAAGAAAGAAACAAAGAAAGAGAAAGAGGAGAGAAATAGAGAAACAGTAAAGGGAATATAAAGAGAAAGAGACAGAGAAAATGAGAGAGAGAGAGAGATAAAAAGAGAAGGACAGAAAGAGAGATAACAAAAAAAGAGGGAGAGAGAGAGAGAGAGCAAGAGAGAAAGAGAGAGAGAGAGAGAAAAGAGAGAGAGAGAGGGAGAGAGAGAGAGATAATGAGAGAGAGGTAAAGAAATATATAGTGAAAGTCCTAAAAAACAGAGAGAGACAGAGAAAGAGAGAGAGAGAGATAGAGAGAGAGAGAGCGAGGGATACGAGAAAGAGCGGAGAGAGAGAGAGAGAAGGACAGGGAGATATATAGAGAGAGAGAGAGAGAACAACAAAATATTAGCCTAGCGATGTGCAGCTGTGAATACCGCAATTATGAATATCACCTTTGCCCGCGCTCCCAATGAGGCGACGAACCATGCGAGGGATGCGCCGACATGCGTGGCGGGGCACGCAACGCGAGCGAAGTCGATAGGTCACTGTGCGAGACACTGAGAGCGAGCGAGTCTGACTGTGGACGAGCCTGCGCGCGCGTGAGTCCACGCGCATAAATGTCGACGCCCATGTCCGCGCGCCTCTCGCGAGGATCGCGCCCGCTTCCTTCCCGTTATTCTTCTCCCTCTCTGCCCGTGCACGCCCGCGTCCAAGGCCGCGGGCGCGGCGCCGAACGGAGTCCCCGCGACGCACGCTAGTCGACCCGAATGGGCCCCGGCGACGCGCGCGGATCGTCCGCTGCGCGGTGCAGAGAGGGAGCAGGCTGGCTCCCACCCGGGATGCGCGGCCCGAAAGCGGCCTCAATACGTAGAATACGACGAAGAATCTCCGAGAATCGAAAGCAGCCGCCATGCGAACTCCGCCGCTGGGCCGCCGTTCGAATTCCGACGCGGAGACCTTAGCTGGAGCTCCCTGTGGGGACACGAAACGCACTACTGGGTGGTGGATGACGCATGCGGGCAGTCCCACTGGGGCCTTCGGTGGAGCCCCTATGGGGCCGCGAAGCGCTGTGCTGGGTGGTGGATGACGCATGCGGGCGGTACCACTGGGGCCTTCGGTGGAGCCCTGTATGGGGCCACGAAACGCTGTACTGGGTGCTAGGTGACGCATGCGGGCGGTCCCACTGGAGCCTTCGGTGAACTCCATATGGGCCCACGATACGCTGTGCTGGGTGGTGGATGACGCATGCGGGCAGTCCCACTGGGGCCGTCGGTGGGGCTCTCTATGGGGCCACGAAACGTTGTGCTGTGTGGTGGATGACGCATGCGGGCGGTACCACTGGGGTTTTCGGTGGAGCTCCCTATGGGGTCGCGAAAGGCTGTACTGGGTGGTGGATGACGCATGCGGGCGGTCCCACCGGGGCCTTCGGTGGAGCTCCCTATGAAGTCACGAGGCGCTGTGCTGGGTGGTGGATGACGCATGCGGGCGGTACCGCTAGGGCCTTCGGTGGAGCCCTGTATGGGGCCGCGAAACGCTGTACTGGGAGCTAGGTGACGCATGCGGGCGGCAGCACTGGGGCCTTCGGTGGAGTTCCCTATGGGGCCACGAAACGCTGTACTGGGTGGTGGGTGGCGCACGCGGGCGGTCCCACTGGGGCCTTCGGTGGAGCCCCCTATGGTGCCGCGAAGCGCTGCGCTGGGTGGTGGATGACGCATGCGGGCGGTCCCACTGGGGCCTTCGGTGGAGCTCCCTATGGGGCCACGAAACGCTGTGCTGGGTGGTGGATGACGCATGCGGACGGTCCCAGTGGGGCTGTCGGCGGAGCTCCCTATGGGGTCACGAAGCGCTGCGCTGGGTGGTGGATGACGCATGCGGGCGGGTCCACTGGAGCTTTCGGTGGAGCTCCCTATGCGGCCACGAAATGATGTGCTGGGCGGTGGATGACGCATGCGGGCGGCCCCACTGGGGCTTTCGGTGGAGGTCCCTATGGGGCCACGAAGCGCTGCGCTGGGCGGGTGAAACGCAAGGAGGAAGGAGGACGGGGAGGAGGGGGAGGAGGGGGAGGAGGAGGGGGGAGGAGGGAGGAAGAAGGAAGGAAGGAACGCGGGGACCGTCTCTTCAAAACGAGGACCCAACAGCACAGGATGGTTGGGAAAATTAGCCTGGCGAAGAACCCAACCATATGCAGTTGTCAGTACCGCAGCTGCGGGTTTCATCTTCAGTGGAACTCCCCATAGGACAACGAAACGTGTGAGGGGTGTGCCGAGATGGGTGCCACTGGGGCATTCGGTGAAGCTCCCTACGGGGACATGAAACACGCGCGGGGCGTGCCGACATGGGTGGCGGAAACGCATGTGAGGGCCGCCGCTGGGGCCTCCAGTGGAGCTCCCTTTGGGTCCCCGAAACATGATGCTGCTGCGGGGGGGGTGCCGGGATGGGCGGCGGAGACGCATGTAAGCGCCGCTACTGGGGCCTTCGGTGGAGCTTCCTATGGGGCCACGAAGCGCGTGAGGGGTGTACTGGGATGTGTGGCGGGGACGCATGTGGGCGCCGCCACTGGGGCCTTCGGTGCAGCTCCTTATGAGGCCACGAAACGTGTGAGGGGTGTGCCGAATTGGGTGCGGGTGGTGACGCATGCGGGCGG